AGTTGTTAATGACTCTGCATTTCCTAATGGGAATGTAACTGTTTTGCATATATACTTTCCTGCGTCAGAGAAACTCACATTGTTTAGGTTAATTGTTATATCACTGAACGAAGAGGTTTTAAATGACACTCTTCCATGGTATTCTCTTTGAACAGAAAACCCATATTCAGGATGATGCACAACAATAGTTTGTGCACTTTTATCATATATCTTTTCCCATTAAACTTGTATTATGGTTTCATTCATGTCAATCATACATTTTAATGTGACATTCTTCCCCCAAACTGCTGTTACGTACGGATCAACAACAGGTCTAACTAATACACTGCAGGAGAAATGAGAGAGGAGCAGCGCCAGAACGAGTTCTGGCCCGGCGGGCATTCACTGCCTCGGTGCCTCCTCCATAGCCGTCACTTTGTTGACTCGAAGGAACTGCAGTTGGGTGCTCGACGGATTTCACAATCGAGAGGCTGTAGATTACTGCTTTGTTGAGGTTAGGCCTGTAAAGAAAGAAAACAACAACAAAACAAAACAAAAGAGAATCGTAATTGAATTTACTATAAGGATACTAGGTGAACGTCAGAATGACGAGTCATCCAGTTGTGATGAACAATAATAGGGGGACGATCGGGCTTTTCCTCTAATTGAACAGAATAGGTATTAGGATACTGTCCCGGCCGTTGAACTGTTCCCTTGTGAACTTGAGACTGGTGGGGGTGCGGTATTGAGATCCACACTAACTCATCTGGTTGGAACTTAGGTTCCCAAGGTAAAGGTTTTTTGACATTAGCTTCGTCCCATAACGGTTTTGAGATGTTCAGTGAGATGAGAACATCATGATTGAATTTAGTCCAGTTTTTAAACGTTCCTCCCCCTCTGAGATGAAGTTGTTCTTTGTATAGGCCTATATGTCTTTCTACAACACCATTGGACTGCAGGTGGTACGGCAGATGGAGATGCCATGCTACATTGTGAAGACGAGCAAATTTGTCTAGAGCATTAGAGTTAAAGGGGGGTCCCCCATCAGACTGAATCTCATGAGGAGGTTGCCAGGTAGCAAATACAGCAGTTAAAGCGGAAATAACAGCAGTGGCATTGCTTTTTCGTAAGGGAATGACTTGCAACTGTCTTGTTCCCAAGTCGACAACAGCTAATCCTTTATTTGGCGGCTTAGACCCTGGAAGGGGTCCTAGCAGATCTACCTGCCAGACTTTTCCTGCCTGGAACTGCGAAGAGTTGAAAGCTCTGAGCTGATGTTTGGTTCGATGACGCTTCTCCTTAGCACATATCTCACAGGCCTGAGCTACCTTTTCCCAATCGCGCCGAACTCCATAAGAGGCCAGCTCTGTAATGGTTTGACACCAGCGTTGATGGCAAGCTCGTGGTCCCGGGTGACCCCAATTTTCACGAAGCCATGCGAGGAATGGATTTACTTCAGGACCGGAGGTAGATGTAATAGGCAAAACTATGTCGGTCTGGAGTGGGTCTTCTAAGAACTTATCGATGACCTCGTGCACTGGATCAGTATCCAGACGGTGTGACTTAGTGTGTTTGACCAACGGGAGCCGTGCAAATTTAGTTAACATTTTCCAGATGTCTTGCCAATCATCCGCATTTTCGGTGGGAAGGGCTGTACCAGTGAGAATCTTGTAAATGTACTGCGAGTCGATTGCGATAATTGGAACTGGGAGCGTATCGTCATGATGTGTCAGGCAATGCTCCAGTACCTTGAGGAATCCTAACAACTCACATTTTTGGGC